TGGAAACATTGTTGCAACCCTGCTGATGTTCCCGTGCACCTGGCTCCTCGGCTCGGCCTATCGCTATTTTTTATTGCGGTAAAGTACACAGAACACAAAGTTTACCGCTTGAACCATTTTTAAGTGCACAGCCCCAGGGCATTAAGCATATTCACACTGCTGTGCAGCCATCACCCCATCATCTCCAGAGCCTTTTCATCTTCCCAGCCCGGCACCCCACACCCTTCAAACGCCAGCTCCCCGCCCGCGCCCNTCATCTTCCCAGCCCGGCACCCCACACCCTTGAAACACCAGCTCCCCGCCCGCGCCTGTCTCTGTGGATTTGACGGCTCTGAGTTTCTTACCTAAGCGGAATCATACAGGGTTTGTCCTTCTGTGTCTGGTGCGAGTCACTGAGCATAATGTCCTCAAGGTCCATCCATGTCGTAGTTTGGGTCAGAATCCCTCCCTTTTCTAGGCCGAGTAATATTCCATTGCCAGGCGGACCCATTGTGTTTATTGTTGCGTGTGCTTTCTTTACACTATAGTCTTACATAAAAGTAGTTCCCTTTACTATTTCCGCCTCCCTCGGCTGCTGCTCCCCAGGCTGCCCCCCAGGGGTTCAGAGCGGGTTTCCCAACCTCCAGACCATCCTTGGCTGTGGGGGCTGTGCTGTGCATTGTAGGACATTTAGCTGCGCCCCCGGCTCTGCCCACGAACTGCCATAACATCCTCCCCCCTAGCTGTGGGGTCTCCAGACCTCGCCAGATGTCCCCCGGGGGGCAGGATTGCTCGGAAGAGACAGGAAGGACAACTCTCCTGGACTGACATATTATTCCACAGTCCAAATCGTATACATAAACTCTGAGTCCAAGTCTCCACGATTTGGGGGATTTCCTTCTGTTTAGGCTATTTGTACTTTTCTTCCTTTCCATTTTGAATATTTAAAAATCCATGCATATTTAGCGGATGCCCCTTAGTGAGTGCCTAGATCTGTGCTTGGTGCATTGGGGGCTCAGGAGGAGAGACCCTGGGCCCTCTTGGTCAGGATGCACACGCTAGGTCCCACTGTGTGTGGGGGGCGGGGGGGTGCAGGAGAAGAAATTGGAGAAGACAAGACGGGTTTTGTTTGTGGACACGTGGAATAGCGAGTCAGTGCTTAGCGGCTTCGAAGAGGGAGAGACCCTCGCAGGTACAAGGGTCCAGATTTAGTGCCGGGGGAAGGGGCTGACCTTGGCTGTCCTCCAGGAGGTCGCCGAGGGAGGAAGACGTCTGTGATATGTCCTTGGGTCCTTTCCCCCCTCCCCCCAGTGCTCATGCCCAGCACTTGCTTCCCTGGTTTCTTTGTTGCTCCATTGAGACTTTGACTCCTTTCCTTGGGGACAATGGGAGTTTTTGTTGGTGTTTTTTTTTTTAACCTTTTGTGGGCGTTTCTGAACATCTTGAATGTTTTAAGAGCATCTATTTGTTAACAGTTTTATTGAGATATAATTCACACACTGTACAGTTCACCCATTGACAGTGTATGACTCAGTGGTTTTCGTATTGAGAGGGGTGTGTACTCATCACCTCGGTCCCGAAAGGTTGTACCCAGGCTCTTACCTCCCCAAGCCCCCTTTCTCCATCCACCTTCGGCTCTCAGCAGCCACTGATCTGCGCTCTGACTCTACACATTTCCCTCGTCCAGACCTTTATATTACGGAATCATATAATACGTATCTTTTGTGTCTGGTTTCTGTCACTCAGTGTTATGCTTTTTTAAAAAACATAAGTTTTTGTTGATTTTTTAGAGGAAGCGGGAGAGAGAGGAACGTCGATGTGAGAACTAAACATCGATCAGCTGCCTCCTGCACGCCCCCTGCTGGGGATCGAGGCCGCAACCCGGGCCTGGGCTCTGACCAGGAATCGAACGGGTGACCCCTTGGTTAATGGGTCGATGCTCAACCACTGAGCCATGCCGGCCGGCAGCATTGTTTCTAAAGTTCACGTGTGTTGTAGCGGGTGTCGGAAGTTCACACCTTCCCGTGGCCGGGTAATACTCGCTGAATGGATGCTCCACACTCTCCCCATTCATCATATCGTGGGCATGGGGGTGGCTTCCACCTTTTGGCGATTGTGAATAGCGCTGCTACGAGCATCTGTGCACGAGTCTGCGTGGACGTGTGTTTTCGTTTCTCTGGGGTGGATACTTGGGAATGGAATCGCGAGGCATATGGTGACTCTGTTTAATCATCAGAGGACCTGCCAGACTGCTTCCCACAGCAGCTGCACCATTTTCCGTTCCCAGCGCCTACTATTTTTATAAGAAAAGTCACAGCTAACGGAGTGGGGGGTATGGGGACAAAATTCAGGGTGCCAAGATCTGACATCCTGACCCCATTTCCACAGTGACACGAGAGGCGCGGAGGCAGCGGGGTGGGGGGCCCCCGGTGCACGCGGCGCAGGCACGGGCGTCCCGAGGGGCGAGGGGGCCCGCTCAGCATGCGCGGGACAGTGGGAGGCAATCAGCCTGCGCCTCACCGTCATCGGTTATGTCTCCTTTTTCTCTATGTTCCTGTTTTGGCTCAATTTTGCAAATTATGACACCTGTTATTTTTATGATCAGAAAAATAGGATCTGGAGAGAGGAGAAAGGAGACAGAACCTCTCGTAGCGCAGAGAGCTTGTCGCCATAGCACATCAGTGCCGCCCCTTTGTGCTGGTCCCCGAGGACCCACGCTGTGAAATGAGCGCCCCATGGCCCCCTTGGGCTCCTCACGCCGCCCCCTAGGGGCTGTCTGGCCAAATTGCAGAGCTGCCGGAGCAGTTAGTAGCAAAGGGACCTTATTTTTGTATCTGTGGCCCTTTGTGGTCAGTCCAACCTGCATCACAGCCTCGTGGTGATTATTTTGCTGGTGGTTGCTTTGTTTTATTTCATTTGGGGGACATGGGAGGAGAATCTGTTTTGCTCAGCCTCTTATCTGAAAGAGTGGGGCGCCTGTGTCTAAAGAAATGCTGAGTCAAACACAGAAAACCTAATAATTTCTGTCAGTCTCTGTAGCAGGTGCATGTCCTGTGCGGTTATCACACGTGCCCATTGAACTGTCCCCGCTCCGCAGGAGAAGAGAGTTCATTAGGCAGGTCACCGCAGCACCCACGTTGTAACCATCCAGAGTGTGGCTCCACGTGTTATAAAGATGAAAGACGTTCGAAGATGCATTCACTCGGTAACTGTGTGCCTGTTCCCCCAGCAAGCAAGTGACACAGGGCACATTTCAGTTTCCTAACTGGTCCTGGAGGCACTGCTAATGCTGGCAGCTCGCCCCACGGCGAAGGAACCTGTCCCATCGGCGACCTCTCCCCCAGGCTCAGTGACAGCTCTGGGTTAAACCCGGTGTTGACTTCTGAAGCGCAGATTCTGAATCTTTCTCTCCCGGGGTCAGGACGGGCTCACCGGGAGGCAGGGGCGCAGCGAGCCACTCCGCCGGCGCTGGCTGCGGCCCCGGGAGCGAGCACACGGCCTGGGCCGCCTGCCCCTCGAGCTGGTGACTCACGTGAGTTGGGCACTCGTGCAGGAACTCTTACAGAATTGGCCCCGTAATTTCCTCCTGCAGCCCTCTCCTCCAAAAAAAGAAAAACATGCAACCCTCAGCTACAGATTTTAATTAATTCCTGTTTTTCTGTATCCAAGAAAGACTTTGCTTTTCTCCAAGGCAGACGGAAGTAGAATGTTGCAGCAGATGCTCACATCAAGCGTGCCCAAGCGTCTTGATGATTTATTCCCAAAGGGGGTCTCCTTCTAACGCTGAGATGCTACTTCACATATACAGGACCTCCAAAGTGCCTGTTAACCCGGCAACTAGGGCCGTTGAAAAGGTAGTTTGTGCCCGGCCGGGCGTGGTTCAGCGGTTGAGCATCGACCTCNACATATACAGGACCTCCAAAGTGCCTGTTAACCCGGCAACTAGGGCCGTTAAAAAGGTAGTTTGTGCCCGGCCGGGCATGGTTCAGCGGTTGAGCATCGACCTCGGATCCAGGAGATCGGGGTTCGATTTCCGGTCAGGGCACATGCCCGGGTTGCAGGCTCGATCCCTAGTCGGGGGCTTGCAGGAGGCAGCTCATCAATGACTCTCTCATCATTGATGTTTCTCTCTCTCCCTTTCTCTTCCTCTCTCTGAAATCAATAAAGATCTATTTAAAAAAAAAAAAAGGAAAGATACAGTTTGCATCTCACCCCCTCGCCCTGCTTTGCCCGCTGTCCGTGGAAGCTTGCACGGGTGGTGGAAAGGGCAAAGGGGAAGGCTGCCGAAAAAGACAGAGAAGGAAACAGATTGTTTGAACAAGCACCCAAGTCATCACCGGTAAACTTTTATTGAGCAACTACTATGTGCAAATAGCCGTGGCTGGAGAAGGGTTAAGACACAGCCTTTGTGCTTTTGATGTGGTTACAGAGCAAGATGCGTAAGAAAGACGGGGAACTAAGAAAGTGGCCGTTGACGTCAGTCAGCGATGTAGTATCGGTCCTGCGGCCTTCGGCCCGAGCGCAGCCGTCTGAGGAGTGAGCGGGCGGGCG